GGGGGGGGGGGGGGGGGGGGGGGGGGGGGGGGGGGGGGGGGGGGAAGCAGTGATGCGGCCCGCAGCCCCCCTCACCCCCCGGGGGCCTGCTCCTCCCACCCCGCAGGGACCGCTAGCCAGAGCCCGTGGGGAGAAAGGGCTCCATCCAGCCCGGGACTCAGGAAAGGCACCCAGACCTGGTGATGGAGTAAGGGGTGGGGTGTGGTGAGCACGTACTTGACGTTGGTGTTGGTGCAGATGACGTACTCAATCTCGTCCGAGTAGGGGTTCTGGAATGTGAAGCTGCTGGTGCGGATCAGCATCCACTCGCGGTTCTTGGTGCGCAGCCGGTACATGACCGACAGCACCTGGCCCTTCAGCTTTACCACCTGAGGAAAGTCGCGCAAGGAAGGTCAGTGGGAGGCGGGAGAGGCACCGGGCAGGCTCAGAAGGGGGCACGTGGTAGAGACGGCGAGGGAGCGCGGCTGGGCTGGGGGGGCTTCTCCCTCTTTGGAGCAGGCCCCGCACTCTGTCCACTCTCTAGAACGTTTTATATCAGGACCTCTCAGCTTTTTCAAATCGGGTCACGTCGATCTATACGCCCAGTGCTTCCCTGTCCACCTGGGCTGCTAGGGTCCTGGGTGACTAGTTACATTCTAGCGCTGGATTTGTTGCTTCACACCTCACGCTAAAATATCCTTAACCCCTGTTTACCACTGTTAGTTGGATCAAGCACTCTCTGGGAGGAGGTGTAATGAAAGGATAAATCCGTACGCGTCATCTGTGTGTGCAGGCATCTACTGTCCCGTTCATGCCGCAGCACGGTTTCCGAACGACTTCCCAATGTACATCCTCACGGGGGTTTGGTGAAGGTGGGTTTTACTATTTATACAGGTTTAATACCGAGTCTTAGAGAGAAATTAAACAAGCTGCCCAAGATCACACAGCTCTGCTGGGAAAGCTGAGAAGGAACCAAGGTTTTACTTCCGAACCACAGGTGTGTTTTGCCTGCTCTTGTGCTCCCTGTAGACACACACAATCCATGCACAAGCAGACGTGGAGCCGTGGGTGTGCACGCACAGGTGCAGAAGAGGGGCGTGCACGCACAGGTGCAGAAGGCACACGTGCAGAAGGCACACTCGGCCGGCAGCTCTTGTGGCTGCAGCAGAAACAGGCGAGGCTATGAATGGCTGGCGGGTGGGTCTAGGCTTGCCTGAGAATATACCCCCAGGACAAAGCAAGACGGATGGGGCTGTCCTCTCCACAGGCCTGTGTACCCCAGATCCTGGGGCTGATCAGGACAGAGAAGGCTCTAGGCCCAGGGCAGCCAGCTGGCTTGACCATGAGCCCAGAGTATGGTCAGAGATAAGAACCGGGACCTGGCCCCAGGGTCAGGGAGGGCCTGATCCCTCCTCCTTAACTCACTCACTTGTAGTTTATTTCTGGCTGGACGTCCGTGGACAGCCTGGGGACAGGGATAGGGAGGGACCTCTTGGTCACCTGAGTCCTGCCCCCCCCCCCCCCCCCCCGCCCCGAGCTTGGCACGGAGCAGGCACCTGGAGCACATTTTCTAAACTTCCTCAAGGGGTCTGTCGTCCCATGAGCTGGGCTGATGCAGCCTGGGCGCCCCTCCTCTTTCTGCACCACCCCTGGGGAGCCCAGACGGAATGAAACCCGAGGCAGTTGGACTCCCTGGTGGGAGAGCCTGAGTGATAAAGAAGCCAGACCATGCCCAGGAGGACGTACACACTGGGTGAGGCGAGGCCCGGAGGCTCAGGGGCTGTGGCCTGTTGGCAGGGGTGCGGTCCCAGCAGCAAGCTCGCTCTTTCCCCCACAGGGCCAGGGGTCAAGGCGACGTGCCCCTGAGGTTGGCATTCCGAGGGTCCCGTGGGACAAGACACAGGGGAAACCGGCAGCCGCCTCGCATGCTCTGAGACCCGTGTCCCTGGCCCTCTGAAGAAGCGGCACACAAAGTGTCTCTCCTCAGCAGAATGCCTGAGATGGTGGGAAAGTCTTTAGCCTCATGCAACAGACACTTGGCCAAGGTGCCGCCTGTGTGCAAAGCCGGGCCCTCGGGCTGGAGAAGGAGCAGTGGGAGGCTGCGGCAGCCTCCCAGGGCCCCGGGTCCTGGCTAAGTGTGTGACACGGGTCACCTCGTGTGGGCCTCCCGATGGCATTGTGTGCATCTGGAATCTGAGCCCCAGAGGAGTTAAATATGCCGCCAAGACCTCCCACTAAGCCATGCCCGAGGCAGGACGGGGTCCTGGATCTCCTGACCCCACGGCCCACTGTCTCCATGAACTCCTTCGCCAAGGAGGAAGAGAAAGCAGGCTGAGTCCCCGCCCAGAACCACACAATCAAGAGGCACGGGGCCACCAGGACACCGTGGGGTCCAGAGAGGGTTCCTGAGGGAGGCGGGGCTGGGAACTCCCTGGAAGGTGGGTAGGTGGGTACACTGTCGGCGAGTGAAGCTCCCTGGCAGGAGGCATGTGTTCCATGTGTGGGAACCTGGGCCGTGGTGGACGCCAGAGGCCGGGTGGGGCAGGGCTGCACCAGGGTCCCTCCATCCTGCCGAACTCAGGTGCCAGGAGACCACCCAGGCCGGCCTGGCCCGTGCTTCGTGAACATGGCTCCATGGCGGAAGGCACGCAAGAGGAGAGCAGAGGGGGCAGTGGGACCCTGCTCTGGGCCTGCATCTCACTGGGTCCCACTCTTTCCTGGCTGCCGGGTAAATGGTAAGCTGGTGAGGGTCCAAGAGTGGAGCCAGGAGCAGACTCGGGTTTCCTGGCCCCTGCGCAGGCACAGGCCACCCCACCAAACCCAAATTCCTCAAGAACCTGATGGCACTCTACGGGTCTCACGTCCGGGCCCCTCAGATGCTTTAGTTTAAATCCAGAGAGTTCCAAGGCTGACTCTGAGCTGACACAGCCCCCTCTGTGCTTCTGCAAAAATAAACCACTTCCCTTTATCAACATTCGTCCCCCAGTGGCTGGGGCCCAAAGAACACATGCAAGGGGCCAAGGCCAGCGCTCCAGGATGTCCCCGTGGCTGCACGGCCCCGGCCCGCTGAGTTCTGTGACTGTGCGGCCGCCGGCTCTCAGGAGCAGCTCTGGTTTCATCTCCCGCCTGCTGTGAGGTGGCCGTGCACGGGGCGAGAGGTCCGTGAGCTGATGCCACTCAGGGTCCGGGCTTACATTCCTCCTGTTTCTGTCCAAAACCACCCAGCTTCCGATTGTGTCAGCAGGGTAAAGCCTCAGCGTGCTGTCCGACAGAGAGGCCTGTGTGCGCGGTGGCAGGGGAACGTGCTGGAAGGGGGTACCTCCAGCCCTCACTCTGTTACCGCCCTGCTGTGGGACTCGGGGCAGGCAACCGGAACTCTGTGTGTCCCGGTGCCCACCGTGAAGATGGGGCGGACGATGGATGGTGTGGGCTGAGGATTATGAGGCCATGTGGGACCAGGGGTCTGGCTGGTCACTAACTGTGTAGGGAGGCCCATTGCTGCTACGGCTTCATTTCCACAGATCCAGAAAAGGGAAGCTGACCCAGGCCAACATCTGGAATAATCTCCACGTATTTGGCAAAGATGAGGCATGAAAGATGCACTCTGACCACGCTTAACCATTCTCACTTCACATCTTTCCAGAATGGAAGTCACCGTCCATTTAGACCACTTTATTAAGAGCCGCTCACCCACGAGCAAGCTCCTCACTCGGTGGTGGGCATGATGGTGAAAAGCACAGACGTGGCACCTGCCCACAGGGAGCTGATGTTTCAGTGGGTGGGGGGGACTCAGCGGACAAACAAATAAAACAACTACAAACTGCAACAGTTGTGCAGGAAAAACAAGAGGCTGAGAAGGAGGGTCGGGGGCCTTCTCGGCTGGCGTGGCTGTGGACAGCATCTCTGAGGTGACAGGAATTAAAACCTAATCAAGATGTCGCTCCTGGGAAGAGTGATGGGACTGCATTCTAGTCTGGAGAGAACATGTGCAAAGGCCCTGAGGTAGGAAACAGCATGATGTGTTCAAGGCACCAGACGACCCATGAGACCAGGTGCCGGGAACGAGTGCGGATAAGACACGTGGGGCAAGGGTCACCCTGGGCTTGCAGCCAAGGTACGGAGCTTGGACCGGATTCCAGGGGCTCTGGGAAGCCACTGGCACATTCAAGCAAAGACGTGGTGAAGCTGAACTCACGTCTCCCGAGTGGCATGGCGTGGGCAAGAGTCAAGCAGGGAGCCCGGCACGGACCCTGCCACACTGCTTGAATTGAGAGCAGGTAGCCCTGCCGGGGTCGGCAGGAAGGAGCAGAGGGAGAAGGGGCCGGCTGCACACGGCTTCAGGGGGTAGCGGACATGAGGGCCGCACGTGGGCAGCGAGACCAGAGCAGGGGGCTGACCGTGTCTCGGCTCCGGGCCTGTGCAAGCGGGGGGCGCTGGGGGGCCAGAGACGGTCTATGCTGTGTCCCCGGGGGAAAGTCGCCAAGGGAGATGCTACAGGGAGAACAGGAGAGAAGGGAGGCAAGGACCGAGCCCGAGGGCGCAGGGCTTGCAGAGGCAGAGCGGGGGGCTCAGAGAGCCACCCCAATGTGGGGCAGGAACAGAGCAGTGGGCGTCCGGGGAACTGGCCGTCAAGGGGCTCATCTAAAACATGGTAAAGCTCAAGGTTAAGGGCCTGTTCCGTCAGATGAACGAGGCACTATCATCCCCTCCTGGAACGGATCTCAAAGGCCCTCGTCCTGCAACGCTGTCTGGTCCTCTCTTTCCTGGGGCTCTGGCGAGCTCCCAAGGCCCCGGAGGAGGAACCTGTCATCTGCCGTCGCGGCCGAGTGCGGGCCCAGGAGGGGACAGGCCCTCAGACCCCTGGTTCTCCCACTGTGTGGTCTTAGGCCCTCCCCTCTCTCTCCCGTGACATGATGGTGATGATGCCCCCCCGCCCAGGACAAGTGCCCGGTGTGCACACAGGTGTCTGCGGCGCCCGAGCGCGACACAGAGCAGGTGCTCAGCACCGGGCACTCACGGGGGTGACGCTCAATCATGCAGCGACGGGCGGCCTCCCTTCCAGGCTCCCCTTTGCTGTCTCCGCCAGAGCGCCACCAGGCCCACACCAGTCCCCTCAGGCCGCCCCTCCACACCCCACCCCTCACCACCTCCATAGCCACCCTGTGCCCCTTGTTCCAAGGGTTTCCCACACTTGCTCTCCGCGTACCCGCGCTACCAAAACTTTCAAAAACACTGCCCTGCTTGCGGTCCTCAGAGGAGCCCTCCCGTAAATGACGCGGGGAGAACTCCAACTCCTCCGTGTGGCCTCAGCAGCCTCTACTGCGGGCCTCCTCCTCCCTGCCCGGCGGTAAGTCTCGCTCCAGCCCAAGGGGCTACACGTAACTCCCTAATACACCACGTTCTTCTGCATCTCCGGGTGCCGGCCATCAGTCTGGAATGTTCTGTCTTGGGGGCAGGCTCATCCCAGCCCTCCCAGGGTTCCCTCCCCTGGGAGACTCTTCCTGCCTCGTCCCCGCACCATTAACCTCTCCATCGCCGGCCCTTCGTCCAGACACAGGCACGGCTTCCTGATGGGTCTGCTCTCCCCACGCGACCGGGAGCCCCTCGCCGCGGGGTCCCTGACTGATGCCTTGGGTAGCCCTACGCAGCCTGCCTGGCGCACCCTGCCGGCCCGCTGCCCGGGTCCCCGGTTCTATGTCAGCCGTCAGTGGGCGCTGGCGGTACCTGCTGAAAGCTCTCACGCAGGTGGCTCTGATCCTCGGAGTGGCAGAATTCCAGAATGTCCTTTCCTAGAAGATCCTGAAGAAAGAGACAAGCTGTGAGAACCCACGATGCCGCTTCCCATCATGGATGCATCGCTGTTGGACAGCAGTGGTCCGGCACCCCTTCACCCCACGTGCCTTAGCTCCCCATCCTCGGGGGCGAGTGGCCGCAGGACGTCCCCTGGGCCGATGATGGAGCCGGCTTCTGGACCCTGCCTGCGTTCCTCTGGGGCACTCCTACCCATTCTCGTCCCCCGGGGCGCCGGGTCACTTCAGAGCGCAATTCTATTTTGTTTGCCGTAGAGAGGCACACTGTAACGAACATACTTCAATAAACATAAAAAGAAAGCAAACGACAGCACGAGGACAGACGTGCCTGCCAATGAAAAACTGGAATTGCTGAAATGCAGAAATGGAAGCTGTCTGGTGGCCGGACAGACGCTGGGACCACACGGTAACTGTACCGACCTTCACCCATCCACTTCTTACTCAAAGCACCTAGCACAAGCCCCGGACAAAAACCAACCAGGATCACAGACACCGTCGCAAGGGAGCGCCACACGTGTGACAGGAATGGGGTCCCGTTGGATGTGCCTTAGGCAGCGAAGGATCGAATTGAATTCATGGATCGGAACCCAAACCGGCAATGGCCTCTGGGGGAGCTGACATGGACAGTGGGAAGGCGGTCTCATCTGTGTGCCAAGAAGCATCTCGATGCTCATGGAAGGTGCGGGGGGGGGGGTAGATGGATCTGGAAATACTCTGCCAGCCAAGGTTACGGTGACTCTGGAAACTGATTAATTTTCCCCCTCCCTCCTTCCAAGAACCTCAAGTTTGCATGAATCTAGAAATGTAGAATTATACGAATGGTTCCAATATTTCAATTTGGACTGTTTCTAGGTCTTCTTCTTTTTTTAAGTTTATTTATTTAAATAGTCTCTACCCCAACATGGGGCTCGAACTCACTGTCCCAAGATCAGGAGCCGTGTGCTCTTCTGAGCCGGCCGGGCGCCCCCGGACTGTATCCTAGTTCTAAAATAATAACACGTACTTGAAATACCCACATCAACATATCCCAGATTTTGTTCCTCAGAACAGAGATCTTTTCTTTCCTTCCTTTTTTTAAATGCTTTTTATTTTGGCAGAAATTTGAATCTATGGGAAAGTTGAAAGGATCATGTGATAAACACCTGAATATCCTTTACCTAGACTGTCACATCTGCATTTTTCCTTCTTTCGTATGTATGTAAATGTAAATAAATGAAAACTATGAGAGTATATATAAATGAAATCTCTTTCGTATCTACACACACACACACACTGAAAAAGCTCTTGTTGAATCATCTGGAAGTAGCAGACAGTAGGACACCTGTCTCTGAAGTGTGTATCTCAAAAATATGACATCCTTCAAAACCCTAACATTTCCATACTACACCTAAAAAAACACATGAACATTCCCTCGATTATCCCCCAAATGTCTTTTCTGGCTACCTGGACCCACTGAAGGCTCTCACAGTGCATACTGTGGTTTTTCTCTCTTTGGTTTATTATTACTTTTTTAAAGATTTTATTTATTTATTTGACAGAGAGAGAGAGAGAGCACAAGCAGGGGGAGCGGCAGAGGGAGAAGCAGTCCCATGTGGGACTCCATCCCAGGACCCCGGGATCATGACCTGAGCCAAAGGCAGACGCTAAACCGACAGAGCCACCCAGGCGCCCCTCTCTTTGGTTTATTTTAATCTAGATTACTTTCTCCTGACTTTTAGTGTTTCTTACGACGCTGACTTTTTAAAAAAGATCTGGAACAAAGACCTGAAAATATGCCCCTGTAGACGCAGGTTTCCAATCCACTTGAGAAACAAGGGATTAGGTGAAATTAAGTGAACATTTTTTCTCAAGACGTTTCAGAGTCTTTCGCATTAATATTGTTTTTTTAAGTTTGCAAGAAGGAGGTGTCCTGTCTGGTGTTCGCCTAAGTTAACTGATCTGAGAGCCCTGTTCTCACAGAGCGTTCAAGTCTGACTTGTGAGCAACTGGCAGACAGACAGGAGGGCTAGGGCCCAAACTGAAGAGTTACTGTTAAGCAGGGCAGCCGAACCCAATGTTTGCTTTGGAAGGACATGACTCTCTCCAGGCAGGAATCTGGATTTTTACGCCATGTCCCCTACACCGTCATTCCGCTGGATCTCGAACAAATGAGAGAGAGAAGTGCATTTTAAGGAAAGTTAAATCTCTAGCCAACTGCCAAGAACTCAGAACCACCTACCTGGGGCTGGTAGCCGATCACGCTGATGCATCTCGGGTCCACGAACGTGATGATCCCATCAGAGTTATGCCGGGATAAGAACTCCGTGGGCACCGACATCCCGCTCATGTCCATACACACGGGAGAGCTGGTCACCTGGAAAGGGGACATCCACACTGAAGTGGTTCTGCCTGCAGAGAGCCGCACCCCCGGCCTCATGAGCCCCGTCTGCACCCGCAGAGTCGCACCCCTGGTTTCACGAGCCCCGTCTGAACCCGCAGAGTGTCGCGCCCCCGGCCTCACCTGCAGTCTTCCGATGGCCACGAGGCAGTACTTGCTGCCCTGCCCCACCTCAGCGTCCTCCTCGGGGATGGTCATTCCTGGAAAGAGAAAAGCCAGCGTCATCCACTACGTGCCCAAGGTGGGTGGCAAAGGGGCGAGAGTGCCCGGATTTTATCTGTGCAATCCAAAATACAGATCCACGCGGACCACCTGGGGTCCGAAAGGTAGCCAGTGAGCTAACTGGTGCCCACTCCTGTCCGCTCCCCTCTCCCTGCCTGACGCCTTTGGTACCTTCCCGGGGCCGTAGCATCTGCCTCTGGGCACGGGGCACAGGAACTCAGGGAAGATGAAATGCCCATCATTCATTCTGCAAAATTTGGCCAAAACACTAGGAAATCTTTACAGCTAACAAGTGTAAGCGGGCATTTCCGGTTATGTAAATGTTTCCTTTACAAGGGTTAGAAAGGAGAAACGGGTGATGGTTACTGAGCACTGAAAACCAGCGCTTGACGGGGGCGCCTGGCGGGCTCCGTCGGTGGAGCCTGCGACTCTTGATCTCGGGGTCGTGAGTTCGAGTCCCACGTTGGGTGTAGAGATGAATTAAAAATAAAATCCTTAAAAAAAAAAAGAAAGAAAAGAAAAGAAAACCGGTGCTCTGGGCGGGCAGGATTTGGTAAAACAATCCCCCGTGTTCTTTGGTCAGGAAAGAGTCTTCCGCTCTGTGCAGCTAGTGAATTGTCCGTTCTGTCTCATCCCCATTTTCCCTGTTGGGAGTTTGGTCCTTTGCCCCTCAAATTTCAAGATCTCGTCACATATTAAGGGATACTGAGTCCTTGCTGGGAATATGTTCTCCTAGTTGGTCTCCTGTCCTCTGACTTTGCTTCTGGTGATTGAACGACTTTATAATTTTTACATAGTCGGATTTATCAATCTTCTCTTGTATTACGTTTGTTATTAAGATACCAGCAAGCTCTTTGAGGGAGTCCTAGAAAGCCATTTCCTACACCAAGGTTTCACCTGTGTTTTACTCTGACACTTTCATGCTTTCGCTTTTTACATTTACATTCCTGAATCCACATGAAGCTATTCCCGTGTCGGGCGTGAGATGCAGATCTACTTTATCTTTAGCAGAATGGCTGTCCGCGGCACGGCTGTTCACAGTGCAGTGACCTGAGGTGTCCCCTTTTATCACCATACTAAAGCCCCACATGTATGTGGAGCTAATTCTGAACTTTCTCTTCTATTCTACTGGCCAGTTGTCTATTAAGCATCAATACTATGCAATTTTATTATTTTTTATTGTTTTTAAAGATTTTATTTATTTATTTGAGAGAGAGAATGAGAGAGCGAGAGAGAGAGAGAGAGCATGAGAGGGGGGAGGGTCAGAGGGAGAAGCAGACTCCCCACTGAGCAGGGAGCCCGATGTGGGACTCGATCCCGGGACTCCAGGATCATGACCTGAGCCAAAGGCAGTTGCTCAACCAATTGAGCCACCCAGGCACCCAATACTATACAATTTTAATTATAGAGGCTTTACGGTAGGGTTCACTATCTGTAAGGCTGTTACTCTCTTACAGTTTTTCAGTGTTTTCTTAACTATTCTCAGATATATTTTTTTTTACATGAACTTCAGTATCATCTTATTTAACTCCATCAGATAGCTTGCTGGTTTTCTTATTTGGCTTGCATTAAATTTATAAGTTAATGTCAGGAGAACTGACATCTTTATGATGCTGAATTGTCTTCCCCAAGAACAGGGGATGTTTTCCCATTTGTTTGAGGCCGCTCTTGTGCCTTTCAGGAGCGTTTAAACATTTCCCTCACATATACTTGTATTTTGCATACTTACTAAAATTACTCCTAAGCCCTTAATCATTTTTGTTGCTATAGTCAATGGGGTTTCTCCTACCATTATACCTTCTATTTATTGTTTATGTATACGAGGACTATTGGGTTTTGTATGTTAATATTGTGTTGTGCTATTTCACCAAATTATTTTACTATTTCAGTTAGTTTTATTACTGGCCCACTGGGCTTTTGCAGGTGTGCCAGCATATAACTGAAAAGAAATAGTCTCCTTTTGTACATGTGTTTGCCTCTGATTTCTCTCTGGGATGGGCTAGTATCTCTTACAATGTTGAAGAGTGGCAGGGCGTGGGCATTCCTGCCTTGGTTCTCATCTTATTGGAAATGTCTCAAGGGTTTTTCCATTACAAATAAGATACCTTTTCGAAAGAGAAATTATTCCCGAATCACTGTTTGGCTTTTTTGCAGATCGATTTAATGCCTTGTTTAATAGGAGACAGCTGGATTCTTACACCTGCTGTGCACACAATCTATTACAATGGATCGTGTTACCTGTGGTATATGAAGAAAATGAGCCCTCACATAGGCAGGGAGCTGGAGGAGGGAGAAGTTTCTCCAGATAATTGCGGATGTTCTTCTTTGATGTTTTCCTAAGTCTTGACAAGGGGTTGCTTCTTAAAGGTTAATTGCAATGTCAAATCCAAAACTGTATCAATGAATTTTTTAATATTCTGTTACATTAAAATAGCTTGGTCTAACACTTGGACTGGCTCCTTTACTAACACAGGAGTTTGAACACGATGTATTGGTCACTAGGAAAATACTGGTTCATCAAATTATACGGATTTAAATGCCAACACATTACAATAAATAATATTTTTAAGATGACACTTGCTCATATCACCATGCGTTTCATCAGAAACAGTTCTAAGTATTGGTCAAGACCATGGTGGTGGATACAAGTTTTCTAAAATTCAGATTTTCACTAGAAAGCTTTAATTTTATCACTGACAGCAAATACTGTCATTTATTTTCCTTGATGTGACAGGTTCATTTTAACTTTTTGTGAAAATATCTTTGCCAAACGCACAAGTTCAAATAACCATAGTCGGTTTGCTCGTCATCCTTTCAAGAAATGGTGTTTCATAAAAGAAGCAACTAGTTTAGCTCACAAACTAGCTCACAGTTTAGCTCAAACAACTGTGCACGTGCTTTTCCTTGACACAACCACCATGCTCTGGTATGCAGCAGAAGTCACCTTACACATACTTCCCATTTCGGGGTTCATTCAAATTAGTACTTTTTACAGCTTCATCAAGGGCATACTTAAGTGAAACCAGCATTTTCAAATTCTGAAATTAGTTTTTGCTGCAAGTGTATGGTGATAGAGAATCCCATGACCACGAGGGCAGTTTGGTGCTGTAGCCCTGACACATGCTGAGGCTCCAGCAGGTGTCCCCACCGATGCTTATGCACCAGCTGTAAGTGGAAAGGGTGAGGAACATCTTAGTGCTGGGATGAAAGCAGTTTAAATGCTGCATACCCCTGAGACCACCTCGGCGCGCCCAGGGTCCACAGGCCAGCCTTAGGAGCCACCACCACCCCTGCTGTCATGCCTGAGTTTGGTCCTCCCAGCCTTGTCTATTGATCCTTTCCCCGCTGCCTCTACTTCTCACTACACATCAACAAGACCCAAGACTGCCCCCCCCCCCCCGTCTAGTTTTGCCTCTGCAATTCCAGATCCTGACTCCACGTGCCTCCTAACAAGATCTGCCTCTGTCTCAGGCCCTTCAAACGCAACACTGCCCAAATCTTCCTGCCAAAACCTGTTCCTCTGTCTCCTCTCCTGCAGAGAAGACAGCTGGTGACCTGCCTGATGTGCATCCTCTCCCTCTTCCATGATGACAGAACCCTGATTTGTTGGGAGTGATGCTGTGTCCACCCCGTTAGAGGGACACAGCTCTGCCTGTGGAGTGTGAGCAGAAGTCCCTGAGTGAGGCTCTCAGGAAAGCTCCTCCTTCTGTGGAACGCAGACATGCTACTGAAGCCCCCATAGCCAAGGTCACACAGGAAGCCAAGGTCACACGATAAGGAGCATGAAGCAGGAACGTCTCTAGTGACGGGATGGTCACCACATCCCCATATGACTGTCCGTCTTAACATTTCATCTATGGGTCCTAGACCTGCCTTTGCAGTTGCCCTTTAGACAAATAAAGGGCACACTGTTTTCCTAAGTCTATTTCTTTCGTGGCCTGACATCCTTGTGTCAATTTAACTGGTCTTCCTTCGAAAATGGTCTAAGTCTCCCTTTCTCTGTGTCACTTTTCTGAATATGCTTCAGACTGTCTGCATCCCCCAGAGGCTATTTCCCACAGTGCGCCAGGTATGACCTCTACCACGACCCCATTTCATCTATCCTGGACACAACAGAAGGTGGCTCCCTGGAACCGAAGGCCACGCATTCAAGAAGCAAGGTGTGAGTTGTGCTGACAGCTCTCCATAAGAAGGGTGCCCTTGGCTAAGCATTTAAAAAATAATCACAATGGGAGTTATGCCTCCAGCCAATTTACCTTCCTGCCCGAAACAACCAGAGACAAAGAGGTATAAGAAACAGTGGTTTTCAAGACTGTGTATATGAGGTGATGAACAACAGCATTCTCTGAGATGGGAAACAAATAAGCCCTACGATCACCCCAACTTCCTGCCTTCAGAGTTTCCAAGCCAGCAACTGAAATGTCACAATGTCTACCACCAGATAAAAAATTACCAGGCATGGGGGGGCGGAGCAAGATGGCGGAGGAGCAGGAGACCTGGATTTCGTCTGGTCTCAAGAATTCAGCTGAATAGGGATCAAACCATTGTGAACACCTACGAACTCAACAGGAGACCGAAGAAGAGAGTAGCAACAACTCTCTGAACAGAGAAGCGACCACTTACTGGAAGGTAGGATGTGCGGAGAAGTGAATCCGAGGCGATATTCGGGAGGATAGACGGCGGGGGAGGGGGCCTCCGTCGGCCGCTTCTGGCAAGTGCTAGAGCCGCGGAGCACAAAATCGGACCTTTTAGAAGTCGGCTCCGCGGAGGGACGTCGCTGCAGTGGCTAAGCGGGGGGTGAAACCCTCGCGGGACAGTGTGGTCTCAGGACCCTCGGGGTCACAGAAAGACCGGGGGTGCCTGAGTGCGGCAGAGCTCCCAGGTATCGGAGCGGGGAAGCCGGCTGCAGAGACGGAGCCGAGGCGCGGGCTCTCAGCTCGGGGTGGCCATAAACTGTGATCCGCGGCCCAGTCGGGCC